AAGCCCGCGCTGGAGCAAGCTCCTGGCAGGACCTGTGGATCTGTGGAGAGAGGAGCCCACGCCAGAGCAGGTTTGCTGGCAGGACTTGTGACCCCGTGGGGGACCCCACGCTGGAGCAGTCTGCTCCTGAAGGTCTGCACCCCGTGGAAGAGACCCACGCTGGAGCAGTTCATGAAGGACTGTCTCCCGTGAGAGGGACTCCATGCTGGAGCAGGGGAATGTTGAGATGAGTCCTCCCCCTGGGAATGAAGAAGCGGCAGAAACACCGCATGATGCACTGACCGTAACCCCCATTCCCCATCCCCCTGTGCCGCTGGGGGGGGCAGAGGTTGAAGCCAGGAGTGAAGTTGAGCCCGGGAAGATGGGAGGGGTGGGGGGAGGTGTTTTTAAGATTTGATTTTATTTCTCATTCCTCTACTCTGTTTTGCTTAGTAATAAATCAGATGAATTCCGTCTCTAAGTTCGGTCTGTTTTGCTCGTGACGATAATTAGTGAGTGATCTCTCCCTGTCCTTATCTCGACCCACGAGCTTTTGTTATACTTTTTCTCCCCTGTCTAGAGAAGGAGGGGAGTGATAGAGCGGCTCTGGTGGGCACCTGGCCCTCAGCCAGGGTCAACCCACCACACTGTGCAAGTAATCAACCTTGAGTAGTTGTGTAAGCCTTTTTAGCAGAAGTCAACAAGGTACTGTACATAAAGGCTGTGATATCTTTCAGGGTCCAAATTAATTATATCAAATATCTGATTGTGTTCTACATACTATTGGGTGATTTTTAAAATGTCTCTTGCTTTATTTTTAGTACTGTCTAAAAATAAAGTAGTTAAAGAAGTCTTCCTTAAAGCCACTGATCCTTGCTGTAGTTCGTAACTGGGTTGTCTTGTCACCCCACATGCTATGATACAGATGCTGGGAAGAGAATAATGCTAGCCCTTTCTTTTCTTTCTGATGAGTTCAGGTGCTGCAGAGGTCTTCATTTACTGTACTAGTGAATTTCTTTCTTGCTGTTAGGAGCTGTTCACATATCATGAACTTAGCTTAGTTAGCATAAATTCAGGAAATATAGTATGTGAGATCTAGCTGTCGTTATTGTTGTGTAATGATGACACAGTTTTAACTTGTTAGGATTTTCTTTAATTCTTTGGATTGGACCAGACTTTTCCTGTATAAGAGTGCTGCTCTTATTGTTAAAACTTGTTCCAGCTCTTCTCTTTCTCTAGATGTTCCAGCTTGTCAGTTTTTTTGAGCTCAAGACAGTGTCATCTCTTCTTGATACTTTTTTCTGGGGCCTGTAATTATTCCATGGATTTCAATAAGAATTTTTTTTTTTGCTACAAATGCAATTGGAGTGGCCCATACACATATCTGTTCCAAGGCATGTTTGTAGTCTGTGACGTTTCAAAGAAGACTGTACTGATCTAATTCATTGAAGATGATCTGCAGTGCGCTGGGGCAGATTCACTTCCAGCCAGCGCTGACTTTTATATTTACTGATCTTTAAGGAATTTCCTCCTAGTTGTCTCACAGTAAACAAACAAGATGTTATTTTGACTGTAAGACAGATCCTCTTTCTTCCAGACCAACCAGCTTAGAGCACTTCAATTTGTTGGTAAATCTCAAAAAGATTTCTGTGCCAAATTGTTTGAATCATGATTATGGCATTTTTTTGAAGAGCTTTTGATCAAAGGAAAGAGAGAGAAAAGGAGAGGAACATTCTTTCCCCCCACCCCCAATTAGGTAATATCCATCTCTAAGATGTTTATGGTAGCATGACACAATGGAGGTTTCTGACAACATTGCTAGTTTACTAATGCATTTTATCATGTATAAACTTAACATTATCAAATGTTCTGTAGCATCTAATGTTGATTCCATTTTCTTATTGGAAAACTCATTCTCATTTTGGTTTGATAATTTACTAATTTTTATTTTAAAAGAATTGTAGATCATATTTTCTCTACTTGCAAACAAGAGAAACGCCCAAGCATTCCTTACTTTAGGTCTTAATTCCAGCTTTGCGTTTTGCAGACTTCCCCCCCCGCTGGCCTCAGCAGTGTCATATCTTGAGTTATGATTGTTCCCCGGCTTTTACTGTATGGAGTTTTGGTTTTAGCTTCATTTGTAGACGGGGACTTTTTTGAAGCATGCTGATGTATCTTATTTGAGATACATACATATTCATTATCTCCGATCACGTTGTCTGCATAATTCTCAGCTACTTTAAACATTCAAGCAAGGCTTGAAATTTCACACATCGGTCTCAACCTAAACAAACGGTAAGGCAACGTGATTGTATTGCTGCCACATAAGTGTGGGAAAGCTAAGCTGAAGACTTGAG